TTTAGGCCCTTATTCGATGGATAATATTCAGATTTTGTAAGTTCACAGTTCAAAATGTGTTGTCCATTTTGGCCATGCAGCCCAGATTTGGGCTGCAGTCTGTTGACCGCGTAGGACCTTACAACCCTCATTTTGAAAGCAAATTTTGGAAGTTGAGTTCATCTTTTGTTTTCCTTTCCATTGCATTCGCTTAGGTTTCTTCTGCATTATGCAGTAGGTTCTTCGGGTCTCATCCAGTAAGGGGGGGGGGCATTGTGATGCAACGTCAAGTGGCTGCCCTCACCCCCACCCCCTAGACTGCCTTCACTCCCCCTGGCTCACGGGGTCCCGTACTTCGAGAAACCTGTGCGCCAGGGGGAGTGTAGGCAGTCTAGGGGGTGGGGGGTGAGGGCAGCCACTTGATGCCCCCCTTACTGGATGAGACGCCCTTTCACTAATTGTTTAATAGATTTCTAACATATGTCGCTCCACCAATCCACGGGGGCGCAAAACGTAAAACATGCGCGCCACCTACGATGCCAAGAGGGACCACAAATAGTGTGGCTAATGTAAATAAAAACAACAAAAACATAGGCAATATAAATAAATGTCAAAAAATTGTATTCTTCAAGAACTCCAAACTGATGTAATCTGACAGACAACTACGATTTTCCACAACCCATTGGACTATTTCCACAATGCAGGATAAGAATGATTTCACGACGCGATTTATTCCATACCAAATATGCTTTTTGGTTTTGTGTGGATCGGGTGGTCCCGCCTCAAATAATATAGTTACTCAACTCTGAGTTCCACCTTTACTTTACTTACTCTACTTTATTACATGTTGTTCCTCCTTTCACTTACCTACGCTAAGACCTCAGGAAAAGGAGGAACTCCTGGGTGGACAGACAAGGCGACTTTCCCCGAAGTTCTTTCTACCAAAAAGCCGCACCGTCGGAGTGCCCACCCGACTCACGTAGCACCTCGCTTTTTTCATGAACCTAACAAAATGAAATAAATCCTACAAATTTCAGGTACATGGCGCATACCGATCGAACTCGACACCGTGATTTCCATTTATTTTTATTTTATTTTGAACCAGAATAATAAAAGATTTATTAAGCTCATTGGAGAGGTACGAAAAATACAAATGAGAAAAATGATGTTGAAACAGGTGAGTGACGTCACCAATATGGCCCAAAGGTGTTGTCGTTAGTTCACGAATTTTACAGAGCAGGAGTACCTCCTTAATGGACCATGTTATTAAAGGAATATGAAAGGAGAATGTTCTTTCTTAATATAGACAAATTCGATCGATAACCGTCAGCGTAGAGTTTTCATCGCATCAGCCGCATGTACCTCTGAAAAAGAAATCGATAAACCAATAATCAATAAGGAAAAGACAGAGGATGAAGGTATGAAAAACAGATCTATACTGTTGACTGTTTCACGCTTCTAGACACACCAGCGATGCGGTCAGTCAATGAGTGAAACACCCGTTTTGAAGGAGTTCGGGATGGGTCAGGAGGGACCACGCGTCACCGCGCGCGTAGCGGCTTGGTGGGTTCATTTTTGCCGCGCGGCAGATGCACGAGCGCTCGCAACAGATACACTACGAGTGCGCGGCAAAGATGAGTGGTCGCACCGCCGCGCGCGCGATGAGAATCGACGCCGCCTCTTGACCCACGCTTAAGGAATTCTTCCCAACTTTCATGCATGGATCAGTGAGAGTTGACCGCACGCAAACCGCATCGCATGGATTTCGAGTGTCTAGAGCTTCGAAAAAAAATACACAAGGATAGAAAATAGCCATGCTTCACTGTCACTACACACGATGCAACTCACATGTGTTCAGTGTTTCTTCGTAAAGAAGTACTGAAATGAAAAATAGCTATGAGACCGTATCCTGAAAATAGGAAAAGCTCCTAGGGCCATATTTCGGCAGTTAGAGGTGGTGTGATTGGTAGCTGTCTACTGAATATGCTCCCCGAGACCGAATTTGGCTAGTTGATATGACAGAATTGGTAGTATCCATGCCCTCTGTGGGAGTAAAAGCTGATCTCAAGCTTCTTACAGAAAAGAAGACGTTCTAATCCACATTACGTCGAGGAGAGACGCATAGCGGACTCCGCATCTCTGCTTCTGCCTACACGTTACCCCTTGAAGGAGGGAGATCAACTGCAATCAACTGTAATTGCAACGGTTTGGAATGGGCCATTCCGCACTCGCTTTATTGGGAACCCTCAGAATAAATGGTCCTTCAAAACTGAGAAAAGCCGAAATAAGGCCCCATTCCTAATCTCGTCGCAAAGAGGCGACCAACAAAACGTCTGTTGCAAAGAAAATCTTGGCAGGAGAAGCTAGGATAGGTGCAGAGCATGATATTCAAGCCGTGTGTAGTCTAACGACTTCAAACAGAATCTTTTCAATCACTGTAGGCGTGCATGAGACGACCACGCCCCCAAGGGCGGGGCGGTTGCACATGCGCGGCACAGATCAGCCGCTGACATCTTGTTATGAACGAATGCAAACAGGAGAGAAAAGGGCTCCTGTGTCTTTGGGGAGGGAGACATTCAGAACAGAGCCGATGGTAGGTGAGACTAGGACTGAACCCATCAAAGGGGAGAAACGCCAGGGAGAACACAAATTGTACACGTGCTTCCCCGGAATCCCTCCCCTCCCTAGAGCTTAGTCCCAGGCACGTAAATTGGCCCACTCCTTTG